AATCACCTAGTCCTCCTTTCTCATTTTACAGTTGAGGAAACTGAGGTTTGGAGAGATTCAAATCCCTTCCCAAAGTCATAAACATATCCAAGTCAATGTGGTAGCCTAGAAAAATAGTAAAATGTAGCCGAAGGACAAAGGGAGTAATATAAAGAACAGTCTTCCTTTAGATGACACACTGAGATCTTAAAAAAAGAACCATGAGGCCTAATTACAAGAAAAACACCCCTCCATCACTTCTGTAGGGTTTTTTTTGTTTTGTTTGTTTGTTTTTTCTGGACGGAGGAAATAGGTAGAGATATGATAATAACAATTCTCTCAAACTCCCAGCCCCTGTAAAACAGTTTTTCCTGTGCCCATAATTTTTTTAAAAAGGCAAAAACATTTTGCTAGATCTATAAGTCAGTAAGGATATAATCAATGGTTTCTATGAGACAAAGGCTATACAAAATAACCTTGAAAACAGCACATGTTATAAAAGCATCCTGGTGTTGCTTCAGTTCATTTCATAAATTGTTCTGACTACACAGGTGACACACCCAAAAACAGTCCCCTGTAGCTGCTCATTCATGTACTAAGGAAAAAAAGATAAAAGATCACTCCTAAGAGATTGACATCCTAGTTCCTTACCCTAATTTACAAAAGGGAACATTAAAGTAATCGAGAAAAGAAAAAAAAAACCTCTCAAAGTTGCATAATGCATAAAAAAATGTCACTGCTTGTTGCCTGGGAAAGACAATAAAGACACCCTGCAGAAATGAATGCACGGCCTCACTCAGAAGAGCAAGTGCAAGAACACCAGGGATAGGAAGCTAAGTATCTGGCCTAAAAGAAAATAAACCCTCAGCATCATATAAGGGGAAAATAGAAAGCAAGAGTGCAGCAGTATGGAAGTGAATCAGAGGTGGTGATAATATTTCCATTCTCTATTTCTATTTTCAATTCTAATGCTCTCATTCATTTTCACTTTTAAAGAAAAACTCTAAAGAATTTAACAGCCCTCATGCCACGCATAGCCTTTTTAAAAATACATTCCTAGTCTGATGTGTATTAATTTAGGCTATAAACAGGTATCAGCCTATAATGAGTGGCACTGAATGTACTGATTCAGATTTATGAAACCTTGGTCTCTGTGCTTTGCTGGTTAAACATCATCTACCTGCAATAGCCAGTTTTTGTTTGGGTTGTCAGTTAGCCAGCAGGCAATTCTATTCTCAAAAACAATAAGTTCAGAGCATAACTGCAGTAAGCCACTGTGCCGGGATAAAGACATATATAAAATCATGTTTAATCCTTATAACCGCCATGTGAGAAAACTCTTTATTACTATTTTATAACCACTGTACAGATTACAAAGTGGAATTCCCAAGAAGTTTAACCTTTTGTCTAAGGTCATTTGTCTCAGCGGTTAAAAGAGAATTAGAATCACTCTCTAAAATCTAGAGCCTAGGATCTTCCCACTACATCTGAGATGCTCTTTAGACACGAATAGGGAAGGGCACAAGGAGCGGAATATGCATAAAACCTCCAATAGTCAGCGTAGCCATTTGGGCAGGATTTTTTTTCAATGTTATTTCTGGTGATGGAGACATTTCAATCACCTACCATTAGAGAACAAATGTGACTCAATTTGCTATGTTCAAATCAGCAGTTAGACATAAATAAAATTTAGCAATTTTAATTGGTTTGGCTCAAGCCTTCAGATTTCCATATGGTTATTTTCTTTGTTTTATGTTAAATGTAATTGACTTAGCACTTGAGAGTTTTAAAATCTTGGAAGAATGTATCAATTAAAAGCTAGACAAAATAGAATTATTCAAAGCACACATTCCGAATTAAGTGATTTTAAGGATAAGGTGGAAAAAAATGCTCTTTTCATAAGTGTGGGTTTTTTTCCCTACAACCTTGCATTATCACCCAGATGACAAAGTTAATACAGACAAAAGAGATATATTTTCTTGAAACAACAAAAGCTAACAAGCATTCTATTTGCTTCTTTGAGAACTAATGCATACCTAAAATGGTCTTTTCTACACTGTTTGCAAGGTGAATTTTTCTTAATATTTTTAAAACCGACAGCAGTAATGAAAACTCTCATAAATCATCTCAAAACTAAAATGTAAATACATCCATAAATATGGTGCCAAGCCTATTAAATTGATTGCACTTTTTAAAATGGTCTTAAAAATATTCTGTCCAATTGTTATTTAATATATTAGTATATCAGAGTATTACGTTGAAATAGTGATTGAAATAGATGTTCTTTCTGAATCTAAGCCACAATTCCCTTAAAACTGTAAAATCACACAAAGTGAATAAAATGTGATCAGAAATCTGAAAAATGCAAAATGCTTTCATTTCTGAACACTTGTGGTTAAGTTTATTGTTACAATTGCTCCTCATAGCTATTGTTCATGTAATTATTTTCTTAATGCTAAAGTTCATCACACTTGCTAAATAAATGAAAGAATCATTTATTGAACCCCAATTAGTTGTTGATGGAATTTTCACACTTACTTAGCTTGACTGAAAGATCAGAATGTTTGGTGTACCCGTGATTCTTAGAAAGCCATGTAATTAAATTAAAGTTTACTATTATTATTACTATTATTAAATTCTAATTTTATGTCTTGGGTAGTAGGAGAGCACAAAACGGTTTGCCTTAAAATAGAACTCTCCTATTGAGGCCACCTTTATAAATGACCATTTAAACTATTGATTTAATAGATATTCCTCTCTGGCAAGGATAAGATTAGATTCTGTTGAACAATTCATCTTCTTAGTACCTGATTTCCTTGTGCTACTCTCCGTTCATATAGAGGTGTGTGGAAAATTTCTTGTAACTTTTGGATTAGAAAATATAGCAATATGAATGAGGATCTCATTCCCCCTCCCCATTTCCAGATTATTTTATTGATTTCATGCTATTTCTAGGGTCCCCTTTTCAGCGGCACGAATGTAGAATTGTTAGAAGTATCCTTAAAGGAAACCCTGAAGGTCATTAGATCCCAGGCAATGAATGGCTTCATTCAACAAGGGCACTGCCCTCCCTTGCCTGCAAGTCCTTTAACATCAGCAAGATCCCCCAAAGGGCTTGCACTTTAACTTGGTCCGAGCAGGTCACATTTCTAAAATACTTAGCTGTCTCAAATGTCCCTGGTCAGCAGCACTAAGTCACTGAGGCCATAGCATTTCAAGCTAGGCTGACCTCTTTCTAGTGTTCAATGGAATTATTCCATGTAATCAGATTTACACAGCCGTATAATCAAAGTGCGAAAGGAGATTACAGAGCTCACATTTGTTTTGAAAAGCAAGGGTGCAAGGATCATCAATCCTATTGACTCTCAAAGTGACAAGATAGTAGTCATCCCCTCTTTGGAGTGTTGGTCATTAACCTGATCTGTCTCCAGTGCTCTTGTTTAAATAGGAAGGGTTAGGCTTTTTTTCCCTGAACTAGTAGATAGAGAGTTCTCACCCAGATCTCACCACTACCATTCATGTAAGCAGATGCTACTCTATAATACGGAATTGGTTCTGTGCCCTAGCTTATTATTCCTGCAAAGCAGAACGCTTGTATAAATGAAGTAATTACATTGAAACTTCTCTTTCCGTTCCCAGTCTTTTGCACTTGCCTTTCAACAGTACACTTGCTCCCAAGTGTGGCCTTTAATGCCCTGCCTATAATCCAACCTGCTTTCAAGAGAGGAATGTGCACTGTCTTTCTCTCCTCTCAGGCTGCTCCCCTAGAAACCACACAAACCCTTCTGCCAGGCAATATCCCTTCCCCCTGCCCTTTGCTACACCGGTGCATTGGGCTTAATTCTTCCTTATTCCTTCTGAATGTGTCCATTTCCCAAGCCTAGACGTCTATTTTAAATACAAAGCGGGTCATTTAATACAGCACTTTCCGCACATTTATGTCTTCATTCTAAACTGACCATTTGTATAAATCCCCAATTTCCCTTTTGCCCCCAACACTTCTACCCCTTCGACTCATTTCAGGAATTGCAATCTCCGACAGAACCTCTGGGGGATGAAAGGGCAGCCTTACCCAACCCGCGCAGATACACACAATTCCAAGGAGAAGTGAGAAGTAACTGCAGTGGTGCAAAGAACTGTGGAGAGGAGTACCATGGGAGCCCTTTCTAAATGACAAGCCACGTATCTTCTTTAAGGGGGAGGGGGGAATCTAATTCTAACCCTGGGCGGTGCTTTACCCAGCGTTTAAGTGTACAAGGAACCATTTAGCAACACTGAGAATTACATCAATAACTATCATTAGAGGGGCCTATTCAAAAAAAAAAAAGACAGAAAGAAAGAAAGAAAATGAAAGAAACTTTCTCTTCTGTACTGGAAAAAGGTGGGTGCAATGTGAAGGTATTACCCTGTCTAAAGCTCTCTGGAGACCTCCCCCAGAGCTGCAAAACCGGCAAATGCTGCAGGAGGCCAAGCTTCCCCGGGGGCTGAGCAGGTTCTCTGCCCCTTGGAGCGCTGCTGCTAAGGAACTCGGGGTTGGCTTTGCTCCCGCGGAGGCACCGGCGTCCCCACGAGCCCCGCGGCCACCTGGGGGCTGCACAGAAATCTGGGTGCCAGAGCAGGCAAGCGAGCGAGCGTGACGTACGGGAGCTGTTTTGTAATCTCCCGGAATCCAAGGGAAAATGTCTCCCATGCAAAGACATGCCTTTCCGTGATAACAAACTCTCCGATCAAAGAGCAGATCCTTCCTCCGTACAGGAACTGCCGTTCTCTACTGACAGCTCCAAACTTAACGGCTGCGGCTGCAAACTTGGCGCAAGCTCCCTCTTATCACTCCCACTCCTCTCTCTGGCTCACCCGGCCGGGTGGCTCGGGCTCGCACGCTACGCCTGCCGCCCCCGCACCTTCTTGGCTGGTCGGGTGGGCACAGACCAGCACGCCCAGGTATCCCGTGCCGGGACGCGCTGGCCTCCGGGCGCGATTTTCTTGGAGAGCTGGCTAGCTCCCGAGCGCGCCCTACTCACTTGTGTCTTCTTCATAAGGAAAGGCAGTGCTGTGATCCAGCCCAGGCAGCAGTGTGGCGACTCCGTTTAGCTGTTCTGGAGCTCCAGCATATTGCATGAGCAGCGGCTGCAGATAGTCCACGCATTGGGCAGCCCGAGCGCAGCGCCCTTTCCGCGGCCCGTGCTTCCCCTGGCGCTCCCCGTCCGGCGCGAAGCGGCGAATGAAACTCCGGCCAGCGCGCCGCCAGCACTTTTATACCGTTCCCTCCCGTCTGCTCCGGACACGCCTCCTTCCCTTCCGGAGCCCCGGGGAAGCGAGTCCGGGCCACGGCTCAGGGGGGAGACTTGAGAGGGGGGTCAGAGCACCATGAAGGCACCAGAAGTTGGACATATCAGGCCAAGCACGTACTCTCGCCTGGGGGCCCTGGATGGGCACAGGGCTCAGGGGCACCGAGGGCAAAGCTTAACAACCTGCAACCGCTGCAGGCGTTGCGGACGCGGCGAGTCCCAGCTTGGCCTCTCAGCTTTTCAGAGGCTTACCTGGCACCGCCCGAACAAAATACCTTCCACGTTGGAAAAGGCGCGGAGCTCCCTCTTTTATGCAGAGGTGGTTCGGGAGAGGAGTCCACTAGGCGCATAGCATATAATTCACCCCATTCGCTTTAGAGAATTTTTTAAGGGGCTTAATGAGCATGGTCTTACCCCTTTATTTTTTTTAAACCATTACTTCTGTGAATGAACACTTAATAATTAAAGGAATTGTTGACTCAAGTTAAGTATTGCCAAGGGAGATGTTCTTTTCCGAAGGCTTCACTGCTGCTTCTGTAGAAATTAAGATTGAAAAAGAAGTGAGAGATTATTAACTGTGCAGGCCCCCACACAGCAAGTGTTTTGAAAGCTGTACTTTTTGTTAGGGAAGATTTTGAAATCGGAAAGATAATGTAACAATAAAAATAGCGGGCATCATAATGTGATGCATTTAATTACATACTAGGCGCCTTGCTAAGTGCTTCACATAGGTTATCTCATTAAATCTTTTCCCCAAACTTATTGTATAGATCCTATCATCTTTATTCCATTTTATAGGTTTAGAGAGGTCAGTTTTCCCAAACCACAGGTAGTAAATGACCAAGCTTATTTTGAATCTAGCACCCTGCTATACAGCCTTTAAAAAATTCTTAAAACAAACCTGTTATTGATTCTTCAAAACCCTTTTATATTTTTCTTTTAAATGGAGACCATTAAATAAGCATTTTTATTATTTTTTAAAAGAAAATTTTAACTAGCTATTAACATCAATAACCTTTTGAACAAAAATGATGTGTAAATTTAGGACTTAGGTATTTTAATACGAAAGCAGGATTCCAAGTTTGCCCTTCCTCTCTCCCCAAATACAAGCACAAATTTGTTTAGAAAAGTCACATAAGTAGAAGTGTGGTTGGCAGTTAGACAGGAGCAAAGCAAGGAGGACGGGCCAGGTATAGAAGGTCACCAAGGGGACGGCCTCAGGTGCTTAGCAAGGATAAAACTGGAAAACCAAGGAGCTCACCCCCAGGGTAAACTTTTCTCACTTAGCATATTGCTGGTCAGACTGTTTAGACCCTCTGACCTTTCCAACCACTCGCCATGTGGTTGGGACCCTCCTCTGACCCTTTCTTCCTCTGGCATGTTGCTTGTCACACAGGTTAGATCCCCGTAGAGGGGAACGGACCAGGGAGCCAGAGAATCGCCTTAAGCATTAAGCCCCGAGGACAATGAGGTTCTGGCCCTTATCAGATATGTCTAGGCCCCAGTTATGTTTTAGGTCCGGGCCTCTAGGATAAGCAACAAAAAGCAGCAAAATTTAGCAAGTGACATAGATACCAGGACTGACCTCAGGACCAACTGCATTGACTGATGAACCCCTTGCCCTGGTACTGACCAATCATTCGAGAACCAATGACCCTGGAAGGACATACCTGGAAAGTTCATGAATATTCTATTGAAATCCTCCCCTGGGACCTCCCCTAATATCCCCGCTCTTAAAAGCCCTTAGGATGGCAGACCCAGCAAAGTCTCCTCTCTGGGAGCACACCATTGCTTTTTCCATCCCCCTCTTCTTCCCCTGAGGTATGTAACTTTTACCCTTCTCTCTTCTAAACTCCGAAGGCCCATTTTTTTCCCTCTGTAACTTGTTCTCTAAGTCCATTTCTCCTGTAGATCTGGGGGAAGGAAAAGGGGGTGGGAAAGGGGAAGGTGTGCTCCTGAGATGGAGAGCACTCCGTTTGCCTTAATCAGTTGAGTGTGACTTTGTTAAAAATGAATAAGCCAGGCCCTGGTCAGGTAGCTCAGCTGGTTAGAGCATCCTCCAGATACACCAAGGTTTCAGGTTCCATCTCTGCTCAGGGCACATAAAGGAATCAACCAATGAATGCATGCACAAGTGGAACAACAAATCAAAGTTTCTCTGTCTTTCTCTTTTCTGTCTCTCCCTCTCTCTCTCTCTGTCTCTCTTAATCAGTCAACTGAAAAAAATGAATGAGCCAAACTTATGACTATGAGAGAACAAGAAACTAGGCAAAATGTGAGGCTCACTGTTCGTCTTCTATTGGTGCTGTAACAAATAACCATAAACTTAATGGCTTAATACGTTAGTTTATTATCTTACAGTTCGGAGGCTAGAAGTCCAAGATGCATCTCACTGGGCTACATATGGGCAGGGCTACATTCCTTATAGAAGCCCTAGTAGAAAATTCCTTTTATTGTCTTTCTGGCTTCTAGAAGCTGTCTACTTCTTTGGCTCATAGCCTCCTTCATTGTCAAAGTCAGTAATGGTGAGTTCAGCTCTACTCACATCAAACCATTTTGACCCTCCCTTCAGCCTCTCTCTTTTACTTCTAAGCCCTTGTATTACATTGAGCCCATCTGGATAATACAGGATAATCTCCCTATTTTAGTCAGCTACTCAGCAATATTAATTCCATCTGTGATCTTAATTCCCATTTGCCAAGTAACATAACACATTCACAGCTTCCAGGGATTAGGATGTTGACATATTTGGAGGGTCATTATTCTGTCTACCACACTCAATAGTAAATAAGTTTGAGGGGAACATAGAGTGAAAATGTGGACTAGGTGTGTCACTGTGCATCCGTGATCGAGGGCTTCACTCAGAGTGGCTCTGGAGCTCATAGCTGGAAGACTACCTCCATAGTTACAAAAATATATGTTTAAAGAAGGACTAGAAGAAAAGCTTAAAGTATTAAATAATTGCTTTTACTTTTAATCAAAACAGTACTTGAGACCATTTTAAGCAGAGGTAGAAAGAAATCTGAAAACAAAAGCAAATATGACTATTGGAAAGCTAACACAACCAGCCTTTAGGAGTAATTTGGCTCTGCCAGAGTTTCCCAACAGTTGAATATATATTATGCACAAAGGAGCTACACTCCTGAAATGTATCATATGGTCTAATAGAAAAGGAAAAGAGTTTGAGGAAGATTGGTTATATTTCAGATTGTATTGCAGACTCTATAATCTTGCCTTAAATCAAAGGTTTAGCAGTGTGGCATGCATAATTATAAAGGTTCCCAAGATGACTTTAGGTGGTACACAGATGAACATTTTTTTTATTTTATCAAATGAATATAAATTAAAATGTATATGTATATTTTGAAATGTATACTGTATAATATATAATACATGTATGTCACATCAAACAGATGATTCCAACTAGATTCTTAGAAAAAATTTGAAGGGTCAATTTAAAATCAGTTTAATGTATAACATTAAAGAAATAACCAGTACCAAAAGAAGATGTATGAATCAAATATAACAGCAGAGTAGGTGGAAGCTATACCCACCTCTTCCCAGGACCAAATTGGAATTACAATTATAATTTAGAGCAATCAACCTGAATAACCAACTGAATGCTAGCTGAAGACAATTACAGAAGAAGGAATTACAGAAGAAGCCACATCAAGACTGGTAGGAACTGCAGGTGGCAGCTGAGGTTCAAAAATGGTATCTCAGTTGGGAGGGTGTAGGGAGCTCCTGCGTTAAGTGTGGGATCTCAAGGCCATGTTGCGTTCTCCAGCCCAGAGAACCAGTACTTGGAAGAGGCACCCATATAACATCTGGCTGTGAAAAACAGCAGGGTTTCTCTCTGCCAGGGAAAGAAAGGAGTCTGCTAGAAGCTCAAGCACTCTTAAAGGGCCAATGATCAAAATCTCATTCAGCCACTCACCTTAGGCTCTAGCATAAGGATGACAAAGCAGAATGCAGTTCTGGGAGGAGAAACTGGAGTTTGTGACTCTGGGGAGAGAACTGAAGAGACAACAGCTGAAACCCCCTGTGCTAAGTCACTCTTCCACATAGCAAACTCCGTTCTTCTTGGATGAAGCAAGCCCCTCCATGTACCATCAGCCATTCCCTCACCCACTGAACTGCACATCAACCTACCTTGTGGAGTTTCTGCCCTGCTAAAGAGTTGGCAGCCTGGGTTGGGGTCTTGGAAGACTAAAGGGGTCTCAGTGACTGAATCTTGTGGCTCGGAGACAAGGGCCATTCCACCCACTTTCTTATGATCCTGACTGGTGCCTCCCCCTCATGGTACATTTACTTTCCCTAACCTCTAAGCTCCCAGCAGTCCCATCTTCTTGACGCTTGGTGGCTCTACTCTGCTGTTGTCTGGGCAGAATCCAGGAGAGTTTGAGTTGTATGGCTTTGAAGGATGGCCACACCCCCCAACTTCCCCTGAACCCAAATAGCCCTGCACCCTCTCTCAAATCCCAATGGCCCCAGCCTGCTGAGATCAGGCTCCTGGCAGAATCTGGGACAGACTGACTTGTGTGGCTCTAAGATAGGAAATTTTTTCTTCATATGCCCAAAGGGCACAGAGTCTTCCCTACGCACAGCTAAATCTTGATGTCTTAGGTCCTAAAACTCTCTACTGGCCTCACTCTGATGACTCCCTGAGACCCCATCCCACCGCAAAGGAGTGTGAGCATAGACTTGATATACCCTAGGATATTTGCTGTGTAGCCCCGATATAGCCAGCACTAGCATCAATAGTGAACTGTATAGATCTGGAAACACCTCTCACCCCCACCTGGTAACTCACTGAGAACCTATTGCATGCAACTCAAATACTGCCAGAAGCTATTCAGTGACTGAGCTTAATAGGCAGCTGGCAAATGGAGGTAGTCAGAGGTGAACTTTGAGGTTCCTAGGTCTTTTTCTTAG